AACTTGTCAGGCTAAGTGGAACACTGACACATCACTTTGATTTGTAAATTTCTTCTCTGTAGTTTGATCATTCAAGCTGTCCTAGATATTCATGTTTAGTCAACTATAACCACAGATAATGTAAAGATATATAATTAACTCCTTTCATTTTATTTATGTATGTGTAGGTTAAAACTCTTGAACAGATTAAAAAAGAAATACCTGATGGTAAATGGTGGATAAAGGCAGATGCGATAGTCATAAAACCAAATATTGAGGAATCTCTGGAGAATGAATGGTTTGGTGATGTTGACCTAGAAGATGGCAAACTGCAAGAATCACATAAACAATACATTGAAAGGTTGAAGTTTATACAATCCATGGGAGTAACTGTTGATAGCTTGAAAAATGATATTGAAGTAATGCTCAAAAAAATGGAGGAGGATGTTGAGCTTCTAAATTCACCATTTGAAAGTACTGAAAAACAGCAGAAAGCATTGAAGAGCCTGAGTGTTGAAAAGTTTGAGCAGTTGAAAGTCGAAAATTCTAATTTGATGAAAGACCTGAGCAATATGAAAGACTTATGCCTTGATGCTACACTCCTGAATGCATTGAAAAAAGAACTGAAAACAACAATTGAAAAGCTGTTAAAGTACACAAAGGCTATTACTCAGTACAAAAGACAAGCAGCAACCCATCTTATGATGTTCATAATTTCAGATGAAAAGCGTAAGATGAAACCATACGCCATTCCTATAAGAGTTGTACCATATAAATCAATAACGGATGCTCGTCTACATGAACTTGGAGAAGAAATAAAAAATACAATGGAGAAGGTGAACATGACTGTTATAGGTTTGTAATGGTTGTCTGTACATAACAGTATAAGTTTTAAAATGTCTTAATACACTCCAACAAAAAATGTCCATGTCCTATAAGAATCCTACACATATCTAGGAATATAAAGCTCATCCTATAGGACAGTACTATAGAACACAGTTATATATACTGTCACAATGCTACAAAACAGAAAGTTGTATAAGACAAGCAATACTGTCTTATAGAACAAACACTGCTATAAGACTATCCTCTATCACTGATAATGTCCTATAGGACATGCAATACTGTCTTATAGAACAAACACTGCTATGAGACTATCCTATATCACTGATAATGTCCTATAGGACAAACACTGCTATAAGACTATCCTATATCACTGATAATGTCCTATAGGACATGCAATACTGTCTTATAGAACAAACACTGCTATAAGACTATCCTATATCACTGATAATGTCCTATAGGACATGCAATACTGTCTTATAGAACAAACACTGCTATGAGACTATCCTATATCACTGATAATGTCCTATAGGACAAACACTGCTATAAGACTATCCTATATCACTGATAATGTCCTATAGGACATGCAATACTGTCTTATAGAACAAACACTGCTATAAGACTATCCTATATCACTGATAATGTCCTATAGGACATGCACTTTAGGACTCATTTAGTATGGTTCTATAGGACAACATGAAGTTCAAGAAGGATCCTGTGACTGAATGTATAATTCAGTTTGAATATTTCTTTACAGGCTTTGTCACTGACGGAGAATTTAATTCTTTGAGAACCAAGGAATCATCAAGATTACCAATATCAGTAATAGCACTTATAAGATATTCCAAAGCTTATGCTCGTCGTGTAAAAAATATTGAAGAGTATTTCACACTTGGGGACAATGGTATGTAGTATAACATTAATGACTTCAAATTAAAAATAATAATATAAAGCATGTGACATTGATGTATATGTATCATGTGTTGCAGATCACCCTTTGGAGAGACATGAAGCAATACCTTAGGCAGATGTGGTTTGGTTGAATACATTTATTAAAGAGAATGGTTGCTCATTTGATAATGCTTTACATATACTGAAGAGAAAGTTGTTTCCTTTTCATTATAATCCCCATCCATATGGTAAGATATTATTATGTAATTTGATTTTTTCTATTTTTTCTATCTTTCAATTTGATACTAAATTTACTGACTGGTAGCTATTTAGTAAATATACCATTACATACAATATTTACTCGTAATCGCAGCAAACTAAATAATGAGTAACTTACTTATTAGTCCCCGTTCGGGGACTTATAATTTGGTCTCCGTCCGTCCGTGCATCCGTGCGTCCGTCCGGAGTCATATCTCAGAATCACTTGGACCGATTCCGTTCATTCTTTGCATGTGCCTAGTACTTTATGTGGGACATATGCACATGCAGTGGTTTAGCGATTCGATTCAAAATGGCCGACTGGCAGCCATCTTGTTTTTTGAAAATGTTGTATTTTGAACATGCTTTGTCAGTTGTCATTCAAACTTGGTACATAGATTATACATGTTAGGATACATGTCAATGATGATTTATTTCGCAATTGGATCAAAGATGGTCGTCTGGCAGGCATCTTGTTTTTTTTTTATGCGGTATCTTGGACGTGCTCTGTCAGTTTTCATTCAAATTTGGCACATACATGTACAGTACATGTACTTTATACATGTTAGGATGCATGTCCATGACAATTTGTTTCAAAATCTGGTCGAGGATGGCCGATTCACAGCCATCTGACTTTTTGGCCTTACTACTATATTTCCACAATTTATGTACTATTTTCATTCGTATATGGCACATTCATTAAACATATCAGTGTGTTTCATAATCAGATCAAAGATGGCGCCGAATAACGGCTGTTTTTATTTTTGGCCATATTATTACTACACAGGACACGTGTTTTGATGTAAATAAACAATCTGTTGTATACGCCACTTGGAACTCAAGTTTCAAGGACACGCTCGCGACAACCCCTCAGCTTTAATATGACGACCACAAAGAGAACTTTCAAAATTTTAACGGGGACTGTGTCATTTTCAATGACTTGTTTTTAGTGTTGTAGTAGC